AATGCTTTTCAAAGAATGAAGCCTAAATTAAAATATGAAAAGAAGAGGTGGGTAGATGGGGGTTCTTGGTAGCTGTTCATCTGCTAAGTGGGACAAATCTTTTTATCTTTATTGAAACTATTAATACATCTTGAAGCAAGTAAAGCTTTAGTGTCTTTTGTCCTTCCTCCTAATTCTGATTTTTTGTCTTTATCTGCACAACTGCTTTTCCACTAAGTTGAGAGCTGCTCTAGCCTGTGCCATTCATCACAAGAACATCTCAGAGGGACTTGGAACTGTTTCAAGTTTTAACAATCAGAGTCTTAACCTGTTTTTTTTTCTCATGTAAGTTACCTGCCTAGGCACACTGGGAAGACAAACACTGAATAACAGAAGTTGAATAATAATAGTAATGAGGAATTTTGCGTGAGAAATAAAAACCTGGTAAAATCAAGTCTTTTGTTGTAGATTGCTGAGATATTTTACCAGTGTAAGAAAGAGTGTCGACATTTGTCAGGCTATCCTCCATAAATCAGAATGTACAGGGGAAGTGCAGCCTTGGCTGCCATAACTATCCCTGCAACATTTGCTATTTTGTTATGCTTTTTTTCCTTTTGAAATATGAGGGGCTATTTGGGGGTATATTGGTAGTACTTAAAGTCTCTGTTTTCTTAGTTGATCTTTTTGTTCATTTATTAGTATAACACTTTTTATCTTGACCTAATCACATTTTCTGGCTTGCTTCTCTAAAATATAAATTGGGGAGGAGGAAAGGGAGGAAATTGATTGTGTTGTTTGGTGGTTTTGGTGGTTTGACTTTTTCTAATGAATTTCTTGCTTTAGAATACTGTAGAATACTTTAGAATACTTTTACATTGGATATAAGGAAGAAGTTCTTTACTCTTAGGGTGGTGAGGCACTGGAATGGGTTGCCCAGGGAAGTTGTGAATGCTCCATCCTTGGCTGTATTCAAGGCCAGGTAGGACAGAGCTTTGGGTGACATGGTTTAGTGTGAGATGTCCCTGCCCATGGCAGGGCGGTTGGAACTAGGTGATCTTAAGGTCCTTTCCAACCCTAACTATTCTATGATTCTGTGATTCTAAGATACAGCCTAGGAAACTAAAGTGTCAGTACTTATTTTCTCAGACTATTTTGGTAGTGTGCTTTATCCCTGACCTGGAAAAGCCACCTCTGCAGGTGAGAGGATAGTTCATTTTCCATAGCTCATTCAGTCCTTGTCCTTTTTGCTAGGACTACCATCAAGACTGCTAATTGTAGTAATAGATTTGTGACGTGGGTACTTTTCTTCTGAAAACTGATCAAATGCATTTGATACAGGCCATAAAGCAGCCATTAGCAGGTACCAGGTTTCAGCCACCATCAGTTCGACCTCAGCTGTAGCTGAACAGTGCAGTAGTGGTTTTCCTTCACATCCTATTTATTTTTATAGCGTTCCTGTTGTAGCCAAGAAAAGCTCCCAGTCTGTTTTATAATTCCAGTGGGTTCAAACCCTTTTCTGCTGAAGCTGAGTTACTTGTTTTCGATTTCAAGAAACTAAACCTGCATGAGTTAAATAAGCCAGCACGAAATAATGCCAAGAGTGGGCTTTACACAGACTGAAATATGTTTGGTTTGTGTTTGGTTTTGGTTTGTGTTTTTTTTTACAAAAAAAAAAAAACATTGATGCTGTGGGTTGGACAGAAATACAGAATCAAACACATCTTTCAAATTTACAAATTTATTTCAGCTCTTAATACTGTAGCATCTTCAAAAGAAAGGTTTTAAAGTATTACGTATTTAAAACTTAGTTTGCTGGAAGAAAAGTGGCTTTTAAAAACTGATTTAGCATCACTGGAAAGGGAATAAGAGGAAAATATTAATAAGACTTGCATTTTTTTTCATGTTGGCACTCAACATCATACTTAGTGATTTAAAGACTTTGTGGAATGGTATTTTTACACTTACGGCTATTTTTTTTAAGGAAACTTCATAAAGACTGAGGTTTTCAGACTTCGGTTGCTAACACTTTCCTGGGTTTCCTAGCAGTGCTTTACTTTAAATGGAAATGCAATCAGCCTTTACTTCATGGTGCCTTCGATATTTCTTTCAGGTCTGACCACTAAAGTCCAAGAGTCACGTCCTCAATAATCCCTGAAAAAAATACTGTTTCTCACCCCTTTATTACGAATAGATATATGCATTTAGGTACACATACAGATGTCTTTACCTTTCTCAGAGTTGTTTTGCAGTATCAGTGGATTTTTCTGTCTTTCACACTCAGGAATTGTGTTTGGATTACAAGAATTGGTATGGGTAGTTGATGGTATTTATATACTTGCTGACTCTGATTCACTGCTTTCATTAGCACTAGAATTCAAAATAGCAGATTCTGACATCAGTGTCAATGATGTAATAATGCTGATTCTAAGCAGGTCATTTCTGATTCCCTGATACGCAGGGGCATGCCTCCTTTACCCGTGCAGGTGCAGGTGCAGATGTTTGGTTGCACCTCATGCCAATTTGTGGAAGCATCAAATGGGTAATTGTGTAGCTATGGTAGCCCAGAGTGAGCCAGCGAAACAGTTTTGGAGGTTGCAGCCAGTACTGAGTTTCACGTACCCTGGATGCACTTCCCTTACTAGTCATGCTTGCACTCGGCTAAAGATAGCATGGATAAATATATGCAGCTTGTAGTTGCATCTCTCCCACCAGTGTGCAGACATCCTGAGCGAGATCAGAGTCCTGTTGGTATTTGTTTTATGGAAATTATCTTTAGTTTACATGGTTATTTCAACAGAGGGATAAAGATTTTCCTGTACCTTTTGAAAATACATGGCTAAGTTGATTTTGAAGATCTTGTGTGTAAATTTATTATTGGCCTTGCTTAATTACCATGCCTTCAGGGATGCAACTCTACTGAAGCTAGAGACCAAGAGTAGCCCTGGTGCTAGATCAGGAAAATGGAGGAAGACTGGCTTATGGGCCCCTTAGATCACTTCTTCCAACAGCACAAATGCCAGTCACGTTTCACCACTGCTCATGCTCCTGGCAACTCTTCAGTTCCATATTTTGCTCAGCTTTATGGTTTCTGAGCTTTTACCTACCCACACAAACTTCTTTGTGCCTGCAGTAGGTGTGCACAGAAAATGCTGGGTTTTGGATGCTTAGCAGGAATCTGACAGTAACATGAGAGAGGTGGGTTTTTTCTCCATGAGGAGGCACCTGTGCTGCTTTCCAAACTCGGTGTGTGTAGTAAATATATGGGTTAAAAAAATCGTAATTCAAATCCCTATAGTGGTACTGATCAGATCTCTGTTTCTGTAGCAATGAGAACCAAAGGTGGCCATTTAAGGCTCACAGTTCATCTACCAATTTCCAGTTCTGCTTCAGGATTCTTAAAGTATTAGAGTGCGTGCTTTAAACCCACAAAACTTACCTTTACCTAATTTTCACCATTCTAACCTAAGTTTCCACGGAAACAGGGTTGAAAAAGCTGCTGGTAGCCAGCAGGCAGTCAGCAGCCGAGAGTGAGAACTCTCCTTTGTCACTTTCCACTACTAGATGCCTGCTGCGTGCCAGTATGCAAAGCTACCTAGGCTTCTAAAATCTGGATTACTTTCAATTTGAGGGGGAAAAATTAAATTAATCTACTCCTTTCTCTCTTTGGATTGTGTCCGTAAATTCCAGGAGGGCAAACGGGCTAATGAGTCCTGATCTGTTCAGTAATACTGAGCCCCACATAATCAACGCTTTCCCAACTTAACTGGGCCTCTCCTTTCATAATTTCCATGTTTTAAGAGCATTCTCTCTCAAATTTCATGTCTGTGCACATGTAAACACATACTGTGGTACCATAACTATATCTATCTGCATATTCAAGCCTTTTTTTGCATGTAGTATAGTCTCTGTATAAAATTTCCTGTTTTCCTGTATACTTAGGGAACATTTCTGAATGAACACATTATAACTGATCCTCAGTTAAATATTAGGAGTAGGATGTGAATGGAGATGGCTTTTAACCAGAAGTAGATTATAGCTGCAGGAAGACTAAAGGGTCTGTTTGGTCAAGACTCGTACAAAACTGAGATAAGCATGCACAACCTGACAAGATCAGATTAGACCCTTCCCCCACAAGTACTTTTCCCATAAATATTTATCTACTTTCTATTATAAATAACCAGGAAATGAAAAAGAAGGATAGATCCCTTTTTTTCTTTCTTTTTTTAATATCCTAAAAATAGAAATGCAGCTTTAAATCTTCATAGAATAATAATATTTCAAGTATGTACAAGTTCCAGTGCTAGTTACTGGGTTTTAAATGGTAGCAAAGTACTGAAATTCCTCATGGCAACTATGTAAATCAGCAGCATTTATAAACAAAGAACTTTGTACATATGTGCATTTTTGCCTAGTATTGGGTACCTAAGAATTAAATAACTTGCCACCTATGAGAGAATAGGTGTTGACAGAGTCAGCACTGCTGTATTTTTACGCTTGCTTGAGGCAACGTAGCTGGCATTGAAGTTAAGCTTGGCATTTTTTCACCCTCTCCCCCCTCCCTCCAGCCCAAGTGAATGCTCACTTCATCAATGAGAAACACAACTGACTTGCCTGCCAGATGCAACAGAGATCCATGAATTCACATCTACCCTGTAAATTTGTGTTTCATTCAGGTTGTCGAGACTTTGACTTCACTCCCTCGTGCAGTGGTGTTAAGGGGTGAAAATCTGAAGCCATACATGTGTCACTAATTCATAACTGTCTGTTGGTGATTCACTCATCAGACACTGTGGATTGCCTTTCTGCTACAATAAAAAACAGCTCTTTAGCTTTAAAATTTAAAACCTTAAAAATGTACAGAATAATATTTTTGCATTCATCTTTGAAAGTAATGAGCATGTACTTTTTAAAACACTTGTGTCGCATAAGAATAATATTAATACTTTAAAAATCTCAAGATGAAAAATGTAAGTCCTTTTTTCTTTCCTTTTTTTTTTTTTTTAATCTTTTTTTTCCTCTAGCATTTTACGATGGGATAATGAGACAGATGTCTCTCAACTGGAAGGACATTTTGACATTGTTATGTGTGCTGACTGGTAAGTACATAAAAATCATAAAACTCATGTTAGAAAAATAGCTTTGCTGGAGTAATTGTGCTGTGCTGCTTGCTGATGGCTAAGCAAAGTCAACAAATGAAGCACAAAGCCACCTTAACCTCAACAAATTAATATTCATCTCCATGTGACAGTTATAAGGTAGTCTTCTATCACACAGTAACTTCTACCACATTATTTCCCAAAGATTGATTTTGAGAAGCATTTCCATTTTCTGGAATTGCCTCTGTTTCATGCTTGACGTATCAGTAAATGGACGACTTAGGCAAATTGCAAATAATTATGGCTCAGTGAGGAACAGTCTGGAGAAAAGGGAGTTTATCAACACAAACAGCTCAATTAGCTTACTTCTTAGGAAAGATCTGACTATTGATATAAGGGGATATGGTTTTTGCTCCCTGGAAAATCTTTCCAAGGGAAAAAGAGATTTTCATAACCCTTTTTTCCCCTATCATATTCTATTTCTTAAATAAATTTGACAGCAATATTTGTAGACATAGGCTTTATGCTATTTGCACAGGCACGTGGTAATTGTAAGAGAATTCTGAATGGAAAAATAAGGGTACAGCACTTAATTCATGAAAAGGTAGATAGATCCATGTTGCAATATGCTGTATTGTTTAATGATTTATGCACATGGATTTGATTATTGACACAGCCCTTTTTGGATGCTGGATTTGCAGAATCGTGCCGTGCTGTATTTGCTGCATGCCAACTTTAAAAAGGGTACCTTCTTAATCGTTTGTGTTACAGAAATGGAGACTGTGTAAAAAGAGATCTGCAAATTTTATTTAAAAGAGTCGATATTTTTCAATGAATCTCTCTCTCCTTCACGCACATTTGCTCCTGATCCATTAAATGTCCAAACCAGTAAAAGCTGTTTGTGTTTTGTTGCACGTAACTGCTGTGAGAAACCGAACCCTGACAAAAACAGAGACTTCCTCGCACAGCTCGGTTCAGCAGATTTCTGCACCTTACTAAGAAATAGTTAAAGGAAAAAGGCAAAGGAAATACGAAGCTGTATATTGTCTTTTTAAACAATGTGCTTTTTAAGTGGCTTCTGCTAAAATATTCCTCTAAAGCTTTTTTTTTTCCTTTGATATTTTGCTATTTAAGTGAACAATTCAGATTTCAGGAAAGTTACTGGTTTTGTATGGCACAGGAGAAGGTGTGTTTAGTCATCTTTTTTTCCCCTTTTTCTAATACCTGTTTTGTTGACAGAATGCAACAGTGCTTCGTTTCTCTTAGCATTTGATTTCAGAAAAGTTCTTTGTTCCCAAAAAGGGCAGAGAAGGGTTTCTAACTAATCGCTGATAATGTGCCCCAGAGATGCATCATCTGATTAAAATAAGGAGCTAAACAACACCATATGATTTCAGCAAGTAATTTAGTAAATGCCTTCCTCACCAAATATTAGAATGGATACTCCAGGTTTCATTGCACAGATGAAGTTAATGCTGGACAGGATTAGATCAGATTAAGTATGAAAGTCACATCAGAGTGCTGGCGGACATGAGCAGGAGGGCAGCAGTCTTCTCGGAGGCTTAGACAAGGCTCACATATGGATGTTCTCCAGATTATGTGGGTGAAGCAAGGTCTTGCCAAGAGATTTAGAGTTAAATTTGTTCTTCACACAAATATCAAAACAACCTGGCTGTGCCATCTCTTGTATTCTTGATACTCACACCATGTCATCCTATTTGTGCTGGGAGTACAGCAGAGTGGAGCAAGACTTAAGTTGAGTTTTTTTTCAGTCATATTCCTGCCTAATAGTCCTCACAGTCTGTTTGGAAATAGTGTAGTTTCCTTGGGAAACAAAGAATCAAACATGACAGGTAAAATACATAATGCATTTTCAATCCCTGTATTTTGTACATTTATTTTGAAGCACTTAAGATGCAGGTAAGCGTATAAATATTTATAGATTTCTAAAAAATAAATAGAAATGTGCAGGTTAAAGTGCATCACAAATTGTCCCTATTTTCTTACCACAAGTGCCCATATATATAGTTTAATAAGCATGAAAATCCCTTCATTGTTTGTTTCTTTTAGAAATCATTCTTTTAATTATGGACACTGGGGGTTCTGGTACATGAAAAGGCTGGGGGGGGGGGGGGAGGAGAGGAAATGTTCCATGCTTTATCAAACTTGAATCTTCCTTGCATTTTCATGTATTTCTCGTCTGAGATACAGATTTGGTTTGAGAACTGTTGGCAGGATTTTTACTTTCTGAAATTTTTGGGCTGCTATTGAAAAGGGGGAAAAAAAAAAAAGAAAAATCTCTCTTTTCTTCTAGCTCCTCAGCTGAAACCTGAAGTATGCAGTGATAAAAGCAGATAGAATAGATTGCATTCAGTTTAACACCATCATATAGCTCATTGTCAGTCAATAAAATCTGAGATTAGAGAACTAGAAAGCAAAAAAAAAAATCTGAGTTCAAATATTAGGTACATGGATAAATTTTCATTGAAGTATTTCCAGCAAGGGTGATATTGTCTGATTCTCTGCATAGCTAACCAGTAGTACTGCTTGATCCCATTTACATGAAAACAAGCTCTATTCATAAACATATTCCAAATCCACATGGAGGTTCAAGTAAAAATGTGCATGATTACAACTAGCAGCAATATGTTTATATTCATGTATTTACCATCAGACTTTCCTAAAGCTTGTGTGCAGGAGTGGAAAATAAGTTATTTCCCAGAACAGACAGTCTATTAGTTAACAGTTAAATTTAGTAGCTCAACTAGATTATAAAATAAATAAGAGGCAAACTGTGAAAGCTGGTCATTATTTAACCATTCAGGATTTTGACAATAAAAATAGTTTCATGGTTCAGCAGTTCCGAAATAACTTGTAAAATGTCAACAATGAGATAAAAATAAGAGGAAAAAAAAAGTCATCTTGGTGAGGCTACACCTGGAAGAAGGATACACTGGAAAAAAAAACACCAAAATAATGGAACTTTATAAAGTATATCCAGCAACCTCATGTTTTTGAGGGGCAATTTTAAGGCCAGGTGAGGGCTGCTAGGATTTTAGACTTTCGTTTGCCCTACACTTGTGGATATAAAGTCATGCAGGTGCTGGAATTGTAAGAGTGAGTGTGAATAGAGGGGGAGACATAACATGTGCCTGGCATGGACTGGCCACAAACAAGACTCTTCCAAAGCTCTTGAGAACCTCAGATTTCTGATTATTTAAAAGGAAGTGTATATCCTTTATTACAAAACATGTTGCTGAAATTTTTAATCCAGGGAGCTTGAAGGCCAGGAGGGCTGAGCCAATAGAAAACCCTTTGTCTTTCGCTCTCTTGTGGAAAATATTTTCACAAATAATTTTAATGTCGAGACAGTGTAAGGTCTAGATCCCCATATCATTTTGGAAATGCGGAATATCCCCTTCTACTTAGACCGATTGTATTCTTAAAGTTTGGCACATGCATCAGTATTTGCGCAGTGAAGACCAGGGGGGACTATCCCATGTTACTTTCCTTTTTTTGCTGAAATCATGAGGAATCATGGACTCACCAGGAATGCAGAACTGAACTAAAAGTATTCTTTGACTAGCTTAAAACCTGTCAATTTCATCTTGGTTAGTGCATTTCTTTTCATATAAGGAATTTTTTTTTGGCAGGAACACAGATCTCTGTCCTTCTTCAGTTTAAATTCATTACTCGTGTTAAGCCTGATTTCTTGCACACACTTTCAAGTACATTGGAATATGAGGACATGGAAGCAAGGGTTTTTTTCAGTTTATGTCAGCCATGCGGTTGAAGGCGAACAGAAAGATAAATGGCTGTGTTCAGTAGGCACTATGTATAAATATAGTCATGTCTGAAGAACACCTGTAAACTAAACTCTTACCAGTTGCAGAACATGCAAAAAGAGAAATAAGTTCACATCGTAGCCTATAAAATATATGCCTCTTACTGCAAGGGACAAGATGAAAGGGTATCAGCATGAAGCAAACTGAGAATCTACTGGGTTTGGTTTATTTTAATTTGTTTGCTTGTGGCTGACTCTTACTTCTGTACCGTTTTGATATCAACTTTCATATTGGTTTTAGTAGTAATCTAAAATTACTGCCTGCCTGTTCATTCATATTTCGCAGGTTAAGAGCACTGCCTAAACAAGGTCTGAATCCTCAACTGTGTTCTTGCCTCTCTACTGCTGTGATCCACATTTCCTTCTGACCCAAGAAAACCTTGCTGTTCCTCTCCTGAGCTACTGCTTTCACAGTGTCCTTACTACATAAACATGAGACATTACCACTAAAGTAATGGCGAGCTAAGCCAAATTTGAACTGAGGTGTGAGAACTGAATGTAAACGATTTAGAACACTACATTATTTAATTTCTCTAAGCTGGTGTGAGCTTTAAAGGGTTCTCTCGGGTACATTTTCAGTACGCTCTGGTAGTATTTAGTCATACAAATTCTATTGCTAAGAGAAATTGTGTGACTAAATCGCCTTGCATGGTCCAGATCCTGTGCTGGGCACAGATTATCTGACACCTTCTTAAAGATTTTCCTCATCCAAGGCATCCTTTGACTCAGAGGGAGGATGGAGATATTCCCTGGAGTCACTGCATTGCATTAACATTGCTTCCAGCCTTCTGTGCTCCCTCTGGTCACAGTATGTGGCTCACAGACCAACAGACTGAAAATCGCAATATTGGAGATGATTTTAATTGAAGTAGGTCCTGTTTCCAGGTTCAGGCTTTTCGGATGGCAGGGACAATTCGGGAGCAGACCCAGGGCAACCGTCCCAGGTTATCTGGATTTCCTAAGCTGAAAGGGCTAAGAGTTAACCTCCCATAGCACCAAAATTTCAATTGGGGTTGGACAGAAAAGGTATTATTGAAGTTGTCTAATGTAGCAGGTCATGTAACCATTTGAACTTCTCAGACACTCAGTTTCTGCTGAACAAAGGCCTGTAGTTCCCTCATTATAAAGGAACAAGATTGGTGGCAGCAGTTGTGCTCCTATCTCATTGTAAAAGGAGAGAATGGTATGCAGCTCCATTAAAAAGGAATTTAGCTCTGGTAAGCTGCCCCAAAATCATGTTTTCACTACACTGCTTTCAGAAATCAAAAATATCATTGATGCATTTTTCATTTTCAGTGTACTTCTGTCTACAAAGGATCTCAGCCACCCCTAAATGTGTGCATGTTTGCAGTGTTTTATGTTGAAGAAAATTAATAATTTCCTGTGATTCTTTTGGGAGACGACTCATGCACCATATTCCACCTCTTCTGCAGGGCGCTAAGTTCATGGTGAAGTGGTGTCTTGTGCTATCTATCTGAATAGGAATCTACCTGAGGTGAATGTCATTAAAACTCCCAGGAGGTATTAGACCTATCACTTGCTGTTTCAATGAATGAAATTCAAACAAGCATTTTTTCAGTAAGGTTCTTGCAGTAAAATTAATCAAGGCTGAGGGGCAGCCTTCATACCAATTGCTAAAGCTTGCATTTTCCTATGGGCAGGCTATCAGAGAAATTGTAAGCTAGCACTTCAGTATCTTGAGAAGAAATTCAAAAGGTACTACTTTTATATGAAATGTTCTTTAAGAAAAGTGTAGATACCCAGTCTACTGCATCTTCTCAACAATATGAGGTTCTGCTAGATTTTACTGATGAAGTTTGGTCACTGCCAAGTTTCCTGATAGGCTCTTACATAGCTGTTTGATGCTATTATATGTAATATTGTAGTAATGTACTCCTTGGTAGCTCTGGCGTGTCCGTACCTGAATATCCCCACATTCTGTTCTCAGTGACTGGCATGTGATTGCAGACCACTTTTTTCTCTTAGCTGTTTCCATATATTCTTTATATTCTTTAAGAAATTTCAAACCTGGGAAAAAAATTAGCCACATCTCTTCAGAAAGAGATGTTTAAGAATAAAGGAAAGCAAAGTATCATGAAGAATAGACAAAATGCTATGTAGTGTGGATCCCAAGCTTGGCACAGGCTGGGAAGCAGTTTTATTGCAGAGAAGGCATGAAAAAGAATGAAGAAAAAAAAAATCACAGAATTTGTGGCCTGCTTGACAGAGTTTCTCATCTGAATTGCCAATATAAATGCAGCTCATGGTAGTAAGGACTGAAAGGCATCAGTTGCTATCCAATGGTTGTTCACTAACCATTGTAAATGCGCTCTCATCCACAGTAACTACATGTCCACAAATATCTAGTCAAGAGTGATTGGCACCCTGGTTGCCACTATTAGTGTATACATTAAGGTACTGAGGGGCATGAAGAATGAATTATCCCCTCAAATCATGAGGTAATCACACCAAAATAGGGCTGAGCATGTTGGCAACATCACATGGGAAAATTGACTCTGCTGCTGTCCTTGTGAGACCCATGCTGGAGATGAAGGATTTCACTTTTGAGAGGACAGCAGTGTTTGAGGGAGAGAGGAGGTAGGGCCTTGTAAATCTTTACAGTGATAGAGATAGACTTATAAAAAGAACAGTTGTGCATAATAGTTAACAATTAATGCGACAACTGTGAAGTTAAAAGGGAAAAATACTCTTTATAGTTAACACCTGAAATGCAATAGAAAACACTTAAAAAACCTCCACACCCCCACCTTGTATTAAGAAAAAAAACATGTAAAATGTTAACTTTGTCTATTGATCCCGATTTCTGCTATGGTAGTATTTTTCATAGCTAGCATGTGTGATCTGGGATTTTCAGCTATAAATATCTGTTCATGATGATGTTTTAGCTTTGGTTTAGATTATATTTGGTTTCATGTATTTCATAATATTTAGAAGTACCTGAACTGGGCAGAAATGTAGATCACAGTTTTTCTTTTACAGCATTGTGTAAACATATGTAATTAGCCTTGTACTTATCTGCATTAGTATCATTAGTATTGAAAACCCATTTTAATCTGGATTCTCTTCTCTTCTCAATGTCAGTCTCTTTCTGGACCAGTACAGAGCTAGCCTTGTTGATGCAATAAAGAGATTACTCCAGCCCAGTGTAAGTATGTTTCTATTTTCTCCTGAACACTGGCTTCAGAATAATTAGTCTGTGCACAATGATTGAGAGAGTAATGGAATGGCAGGATTAATGTCATGTAATACTTTAATACTTATTATGTCCAACTTCAATTGAGTCTTCTAATCTATCAGATTCTTTCCTAATCATAAACTAGGAAACTTCTTATACTTGGCCTTCTGATAAGGAACACAGTGGGTAGTAAAATAAATGAAACCGCTTCAAAGATAGCGTCAGATTATTTTTATCAAAGCGTTTCTCAAGTAGTTTCCTTTGATAATAATGTCTTCGTATTAAAGTAAAAGTACGATATTGAAAGTTTTTATGTTGGCTTCTGTCATTTGTAATCCCTTCAATTGTAACCTTTGTCATTGTGTATTTATTTATTATGAAAGACTATTTTTTCTTTTCATTTCTGTTTATATAAAATGAGCAAAACCCTTATGCACAGATTGTAGACTAAAACTTTTCTCCTGTGTTTACATTTTTTATGCCTTGGAATATAATAAAATAAAGCTTTTCATAAAATGCTTACATGTTCTACAAGAATGTCATTAAAGAAATATTTTACTGATTTCAATCTATTAAGCTGTTAAATTGAGACCTGCAGGGAAGAAAAATGCTGTCATATGCATATGCTTATAACCAACAAATAATGTTGAATCTGAAAAAAAAAAAAACAATTAAAAAGAAGATATTCAAATAGGAGAAAACATGTGAAGTAATTGCTATAGGTAGGAATTTGAAACAGGAATTTTACCTTTAATGCTTAACATAGAAATCTTCCATTCAGGTAAACTTTCCATTTCAGAGCAAAAGTATTTCATGTTAGCAGTGCATTCTCCAAACTCTGTTTTAAAATTGTATTGTAATTTTGTACAAGAGATTTTCTCTGTAAAAGGCACAGAAGAGCCAAACGTGCAAAGGCTTAAGAAACTGAGTCGTTTTAGCCATGTAAGTAATCCCATTCTTTGCTAAGAGTGATCAGGTTTCTATTCTTGGTTCTATCACAGACTTTCCTGAGTGACCTAAGGCAAGTTACTTAAGACTGAATTATTTTAATGAGCGCTGGGGCAAGGCTGCCAGGAAGACAGGAGAAATGTAGCCACTAAGGAAAAGGTTACCCACATATTGCTTTTATTGGCAGCAAGGGGAGGTTAAGCAGCTCCTGCCCAGGGTGATGCCTTCTGGCTTCCATAATATATCGTCAGTTGTCAGGGTGCAATAATTTTGGGGATGAAAGATAATCAAAGCTGATTCCAGTTTAAAAAAATGTAAAAAGTCCTTTTTTTTGTCAGCCCCTATCAATATCCATACCTGGTTCTTCAGGTAGCCCCATACGCCACTGTACTGATGCCACTTGCCAGTCCTGGGGTGACAGTTGGACTTGATGATCTTAAAGGTCTTTTCCAACCTAGGTGGTGCTAAGGTTCTATGAAAGGATACTGGGGGAGTAGGGGTAGGAGTGTCAGGAGGAAAAGTGTACAAGAGATGCGCCGGTAACTGACCTGCCTTAGAGCCTCTAGAGTGAAAGAATAGCTCTTGGTTGCTTTGTCTTCTGCTTATACCTAATCATGGTCTGGTGGTCTGTTTTGCCAAAACCATGAGTACACAAATACATTTGTGTATGCACACAGACATGCGTTCTTTACCTGGGCTGATTAGCCCAACCAGGGAATTTGATTTAAAAAACATTGACAGTAAGGCAGCTTGAATCTTAAGCAGTGTTTGTAGCTCAAGTTCCCATCTATAGACACTTTAGGAATTGATAACCTGATTTTAAATGAAGACTGACCTGACTTTGTTGCTTTTTAACTCCGGTCAGCTAATTCAGATTCAGAATAAGCCTTTGTTTTTCAGAGCAAATGAACTACAGTCTTTCTGAATGTAGATGGAATGGAGGGAGATGGCTTTTTGTCACCTGCCCTCCTCGTGTGGGTTCCTTCTGATTATTGTGATGAATAGCATAGCCTGTACTTACTTGCTATGCATTTTAGGCTATGATTCCTATTTCTTATCACCAGTGCTAGCTTGGGAAATTGTTGCTCCTTTCCGGTTGCAAAGTTTTGGACCACTGTCCAAACTGTATTTTTTAACTAAAGTAATTTGCCTAATCGTCTTTATGGATGGTTATATGGATGGATAACCGGTCTTGGCATGGCCTTTCAAATTACTGTAACTCATAACTTAGAGGACAGCAAACTATTACTTGAATTGGAAGCTGGGAATATGGACCCAGACACCTTAAAGGAGCTCCCTTGTCCCAAAAGGACGTGTTGAACAGAGATGCCTTCAAGCATATGCTTTCATGGTTTGAAAGACCCAAATATAAGCATATACTTAACTGAGATTCCAAGAGAAGATGCAACCACAAGATAGTTATTATTTTTATTGTTCTAGTTGGCCTGTATAAATCTCAGGTTAACATCAGAGGAAACTTTACTTATGGCCCTATACTTTGGCCTTTAAGGGAAAAATAGTAGTGATCTCATTTGCCAGCTGCAATAATAAAGAATAGTTTAGGAGCATTACTTTATGCCCAATCTAAGTCATAAACTACTTTGATGAAATTCACTCTTCTGCAGGCCTTATTTTGTCTCTAGTTTGGAAGTTACATTTCCTTACTGGAAATGTTTTGCCCAATTGATAGAGGAACAATCTCAAATTGAAGACACATCTAGATTAAGACATCTTTTAAGTGAGCCTAGGATAGAACTGTTCAGGGAAAGTAATAACCAGCAAAATTGAAAGAAAAAGTACAGTAAACAGAAAATTATGGGTATCTTTACAAAACTGTCTTGCAGGGCAAATGCAGAACAGGACATTTATTCTTACTGTTAAGTTAAAAAGAGATTGATTTATCTGCAGTATTTCCTTTTTCATTAAGGGTGTTACCTGTTCCTATTAGAATCATTATGGCACAGAGTGATGTGTTTCAGGTAACTTTTTGTTTTCCTGGAGACAGACCCTGGTTGTTTCAGCCATCTGATTCACAGTATGGCTGCATGAACAGTTGTATTGGCACAGGAAGAGGGGACCAGAAATTCCCACAAGCAGAAATAAGCAGCTCACAGAGTTATTGGGGGCTGCAGTTTCTGTCTGAATTAGTTGTAAATGCAAATGCCACCTGTAAACCGATTCCAAGAATTAGGCACTGAAATCATACACCAAAAAAACTTATCTTCAATGTATGTATTTTATTCCTCTTATAAGCATGCTACTTGACTTGCCAACATTTAGTTGCTTTTTTTTTCTATAGTTAAAATGTACTTGTCATTTCAGTCTCAGAATAAGCAGTTGCTTGTGTATTTTCCTGTTTAGAAACATTTTTAATGAAGGCTTTGATTCTTCTGTGGCCTATCCCAGTGAAGTCAATGCAATGCTATTGAGCCATTATCAGTACCAGCAAATAAGACTGCATTTAATAATGGTTCATGAGTAAACTTAGTCATAGTCATGTCCAACATGTCACATTATTTTGCTGAAGCATTTTAGTGACACTTCAAGCTATTGCAGCTGACATTTTCTTGTGTGTTTTGTTCACAAGTATTTTCCTGACTGAGAAAAAGCTATTTTGAACTTTAAACATCATCCTAATCTGGGAGGCACTTTTGCATTCAGATCAAATGAACCTGGGATAGACTATCAGATGTAGCTCCAGGCCACTGGTCTAGTTGTTTTTATTGTATAGCAACCAACAAATGAAAAACAGTTTAAAACCAGAAACGTGAATGGAGCCCCAGAACAAGTAACAGAATTACAGAGATCAGGCAGTTGACAAGAAAGTGCTTTAAACCCAGAATATGATTGACCAGACCTGACAACAGTACCTCCATGGTGCCTGCCAGTTTTGATGAGATTATTGTAGTGTTAAATCAAGATTTTTGAGGGTTTATGAGCAAACGCAAAATGCTCGGGTGTTTTAGATGCACACTCTAAATTCAATAGGTGAGTGGGTTTTTACACCAACTAAGGAGCTGGACAATAGTAATGGTGTGATGTTTTCCATAAAAGTCCATTCCCCTTTTTTGAAGTTATTTTAAGGTTTTCAGCCTGGTTTAGAGAGATATTTCATACCATATTTATTTCTATTTTACTATATTTCTCTTTCAAATTAAATGTGAAGTCATCTACAGAGTTTATGAGAAGGAATGGCCGCATGGTCTGCTGACTCCAAATGGAAATCTCTAAGGAGGTACTGTTGTACGAGCGTTGCTTCCTCATTGAAGCTGTTGGATCAGTGACCAGTGTAGGACATGCAGCCTCCAGCAGCCTCTGTTCACAAGGTTTAGCCATTCCTGAAGTCCCCATGTGAATCGTGTGGTCAGTAAGGCCTGGGTAGGGAGCACATTTCCCATTGTAGTGCCCTGTCTGTGAAGCTGCCCATGTAGGTGAGGGACTCCAGAGGGGAGTCTCATCCTTCTCATGGCAGGAAAGGTCTCTGCAGAACAACATTCTGGGGAGTGTGGGGTGGCAGCAGGAGGAGGAGGATCCTCAGCTGAAGGCTTCCTTTGCTGCCCACTACTTTCTGATGACATTAAAGCGTGCCAAGGATGTGAGGGAACTGATTGTGAATTTCCTGTGTTTAATGTTTTTCATCCTGAGCTGAGCCTATATTCAGACCTAACATTTACATGAGCAATTCCAGTGCCTTGGGTGGGTGTTTACACCCCTTTGCACCTCATATTTAGCCACAGAATTAAAGTTACAGCTACACAAATCAACAGAAGTCAGTTGCTTTGGATATTGCCCTGTGTCTCCTTTGTGCTTTAATTTCCCATGAGAAAGATGAGGATAACAGTATTTTCCTTTCTCACAGAGGCATTGTGAGAATAAATACGGTGCTGTGGTATTAATGATTGGGGTCTTTTAAGAACACGTTAGTACCATAGATACCAGTGTAGAGTTTTTATTGCTGCCTCGCTGCATGTTGTCTCGGCATATGTGTACATGAGCTGTAACACAGATTTGTTCCCTCTCCTCCTCACTAAGTATCTGTGTCAGCAGTCTGACTTTCCAGAGTTGCTGTTGAAGTTCTCTCTTCTGGTCAGTTTTTCCTGTGGTTGCATTTTCTCAAGCCAAATATTCTTCTACAGCCTCTAATCATTGTGTAACTCCTTCAGGTCCCTGAAAATACCTTTTTTGTCTCTTCGGTTGATTACAGCCCCTCACAAATTAGTCTTAGCTCTCATGAATATAGAAGTTAAGTACAAGAACTCAAGTAAACTTTGTGGCTCCCCTCGGTGTGATACGCTGTTGTTTGGTATTAACCTTTTGTTTACAGCTCTTCAACCAATTTCCATTCCATGTGACAGAACACAGCATTCAGCCAATTAGAATTAATTTTGCAAGTAAGATTTCAAGAGATGCTGTATCACATAGGTTAGGTTTGGGGCTAGTACTTTGCACGGACTGACTAAAATCTGTCATTTCAAGGTACAGGCATTTCTGCTTTCTTAAATGCAGAAGGATGAACAAAAAATTAGCAAATGGACCATAATGTATTGCCTGGGCATCATAAATGGCCTGATTGTCTTGAAAGATCCAGAATTACTATGCAAGAGCATTAAGTCCTGCTTTAAATGCAATTTACCAATTTCAGGTCAAATTTTGCTGGCTGCTCAGGTAGTTTAAAATACCTTCAAAAAAATCAGTTATTAGGTCTGAATTGCTTCCCATTTTGCCTTGTTTTACACTGCTGTAATTCCACTGATAGCAAATGGGGGGTACTCTTCTATGTGGGAGAGTGAAAAAAAGAAATCAGTATTTACAGTCTTTGCATGGTCACGAGCTAACAAATAGATTTTGCATTGAGTGTATGTTTTGTATGCTTTTTCTGTGTTTTGTTTTGGTAATTCATAGCCATCATTATTATATGAAAAGGAGCAGATGTCTGGCAGTTGGCAGTTTTCTAAAGAAAATATTTATTTATTACTTTCTATTTTGCATTTGTTTAATCACAGAAATCTTGCATATTTTGAACAATTATTCATATTACCCCATTTTAGTGTTTAAGCAAGAGAACAATTTCCTTTCTAGCCTGAGTGTATTAAAAGCTTAGTCAGGTGTATGTTATATCTGGTTCCCTTCCAGTTTTAAATATGTATAAATTCTCTTTTTAATGTTCCAGGGAAAAGCAATGGTATTTGCTCCACTCCGAGGGAATACTTTAAACCAGTTTTGCAATCTAGCTGAAAAAGCTGGTTTCTCTATCCAAAGACATGAAAATTATGATGAACACATTTCGAACTTCCACTCCAAGGTTAGTTTTCTGCTTGTGTTAGATAACACTTTAATCCGCATTGCATTTTGAAGAGATCATGGTCCTTTTGGCAGGTAACCTAAATGTTTGATTAAAGTACTCCTTAGGTGTGCTGTTTCTGAACAGCTATTTTTGTATCTGATTATTTTGCGTGGTAGAACCATCCTTTATCTCTGCACGCCTAGAAGAGGTTTGCAGGAGCATCTCCTGTTTACCCTTTTCATTCATGGAAATCTAATTTAGGAGAGTCTTTTCTTGTTTTTGTTAGCTGCGTATAAATATATCTCACTAGCATTTTTAATAAAAGCTTGCAACTTTTAAGTAGGTTAAATACTGAAATGGAGTGAAATAAATAGGAGGTGAATGTCTAATTGTATCATATCGTACCTTAAATCCTTATCTCTGGCTGCTTTATGGCCGGGTCAGTTGGCAGCTTCAAACTGCTAAATCTCATACAGAATTTCACAGTTGTGGGGTTATATGTCAGATCGAGGCGCTACAAGATTTAGGTCAAAAGCACTTATCTGAGCATGATTTCTAAGCTTGCTTACATAAAGCTACTGTTATCAGTCTCCTTTTTTATTATTTATAAGTATAGAGTAATACAGGACATGACGAGGAAGACGCTTCACGGAAAAGTTTTTAGGAATTTCTTATTTTTCTGTGTAGAAGTGCTTATCAAAATCATATTTATTACTTGCAATTCTGAGATCTCTATTTCCTCTATTTCATACCATAACGAAATCCACTGTTGTAGGTCCATATGACCTTAGATATAACCTCTTGCAATTTTCTAAGAATTGCTCTTGGAAAATGCAGACATGTTCAGAACTGAAGTGAAATGCATTTTTTTTTTTCTATTTATCACCACCATGGGATAGAAATCAGATTATGCTAAAAAAAAAACATGCATGGGATTTTGTAAGGAACAAATTTATATTTTATTGTGTAATTTTATATTCAATAAAGACTCCCATTAGAGCTATCTAGACGTGTACATAAAAATCACTTAATTTCATTGCTCAGGTGAGTCTGAATCTGGTCACACTAAAACCAAATAAATTTTCAGTCATTGTTCATCTACCACCTTGACTTTGAATCACATAAAATGACATTATTGTGAGGCCCAATGTGATGGGTTTTTTATTTGCCACCACCTGAAAAAGGGCATGATTTTGATTATGTTGTTTCATGGTAGTAGTTCTCTTTCATTATCCACTGCATCCAAATCAGCTCTGCAGCAGAGAAATGCAGGAGTAATAGGTGTTATCTTGATCTAAGAGATGGGTCTAAAATGATAGAGTAGTTTATTTTGCGTACAAAGCAAATCTATTCTATCTTCCTCTGGTTATGTGTCCACTGCAGTCCTTATAATGGTGACTAGAGCCAAAACATATGTGAAGCAGCTTTAAATTAGCTACTTCTGGAAATGCCAATCATTTTACTGCAATTTTTTTAAGCCCAAGCTGTGAAACTTAAGACAGACAACTACTTGGGGAGGGTAATGCCCAACTTCATTAGTTTAAATCCAGTTTGGGAATGTTTTTTCTCCACTGTAATCACAGCTGTGACAGCGTTGTTCCTTGTTCCTCCTCCCCCGGTCTCCTTTTGGCTTGAGGAAAATAAATATCCCAG